AATAATATCATCATGGTGTGCAATGCAGTAATGGCGGCTGTCAGGAACTGCAGATAGGATTTTATCCATTTTTGTCTGGAAAATGGCAGGCGAGACACTTAGGCCCTGGGTTAGCCTTTTAAAATAGAAATGTCGACCGCCATGATATGATGAGATTCCAGTATATTGTTGGGCATTAGGGGCAAGGGGCAAAGAGAAAAAGGCAGATTTTAAATCCAAACAACTGAGAACTTTGGGAGAGGCATTACCTATCCGCTGTAATGTTGAAGCCAGTAAAGGGAAGGGATGATTATACCTTTTAATGCGGTTGTTTAAATGACGAAAATCGACGACAACGCGTTTCTCAGTGCTGCCTTTCTTGGGAAATACCAATATCGGAGAGGTATAAGATTGATGACCCTCGGCTATAATACCTTGCTTGACTAATTTGTCAAGTTCTGCATCAATAACTTGTTTATCGCTTTCATTTGTGTGATATGGACGAATATAAAATGGACGCGAATCAGTGACTTCTATATCTACTTCTAAATTTGGACAGTGACCTATCTCGCCGTACAAACTAAAGGCATCCTTATGTTTAGTTAGAAGCTCCAGAAACTCCTCTCTCTGAGTAGGCGACAAGATACAACCGTCAGACAAATTGATAGTCTGCTTAAGAATCTCTAACTCAGGTTTATGAGGTGAAAGAGTACTCTGAGAATGATGAGAAATTTGTTGTGAATGGTGCACAAAATCTGATGAATCACATAAAAAGAGATTGTCAGTGTTAAAATAAAATAAATGTTGAGAAGGTCTAAGATGAAGAGTCTTCTTACCGGGATTAGATATAGGTACGATGGTTTTATTGCGTTGCAATGTTGCTAATATAAACGAGGAAGATGGTGCCTTTGACACTTTCTTAAGAAGAACTTCACGATTCCGGTATATAGATGGCACGTTACCATATAAGGTTACATAACGTGTATGGCCAGGGCGAATATAAACACTGTGGGTCGGAGTAAATGATACTTCCTTAGACTTGCAATGAAATTGATTTGTATCAAATTGTAAAGACCCTTTTAACTCTGACAGGGTTTCTTGACCAAAGATTAAATCAATACCAACCAAATGTGGGGCAATATGAACTTTAACATTAAAACAAGAGCCTTGTATAAAAATTTTAACCATCATGAACGAAAAGCAAGTCAATATTTGACCATTACCCATACGAAAATTTAAACTATTTTCCAACGTATGTACAGAAAGACTTGACAGATATGAAGATGAGTTAATAACAGACTGTGATACTAAAGACTTGGATGCACCACTGTCAAACAAAATAATAACTGATTTCTTATCAGGTAAAACACCTTTACAAAAGTTAGAACGATTTAACTGAACAATAACGTCTTGGTCCGCATTTGCAGAAATGGCTTTTGTTACAAAATTGGAATTGGGGAACATTTGTGGAGCATGATTATCAAATGTTCCCGAATTCAAAAATCCTGACGAGATATGGTAGGACCATTTGGATGGGTAGGCTCGTTCTGTGACAACTGTCGATGAGAAAGATGCTCTTGACGAACGTAACAAAACTGCCAAGTATGGCCAGGATAAAGACAATAATCACAAAATATGACACGTGGTCTGGATGGATGAGGAGATTGAGTTTCAGACCGATGCTTAGAAGGAAATTGTGTTCTATATGATGAACGAGAATTATAAGGATACGGTGATCTATTGCGGAAAGTAGATTGATCCCTAAGAGGTGATTGAGTCCTATAAAATGAACGAGAATTATGTGGTGATTGAGAGCGATGAGACCTAGATTGAGAAACGTTTCTGTCTGTTGATGGGGATCTATGTAGTCGACGGTCTGACTGGACCTTCCTGACAGAACTATCGGTGTATGGGGAAGGAGTACTCAAATCCAATGTTAAATTTGAGACCTCATCCTGTAATTCAGACATACTGAAGGATACTTCTTTCACTGTTGAAGAGGGAACACTGGAACTGACATCAAAGTATCGCTGGGCCTTAGCAGCAAGGATCTCTACTGGTGTGTCATCAGAACTGACCATGATGACTGACTGCTTACAATTATTAGGTAGAACTGATATAAACTTATCTCGGATTTGAGAAGCATTATAATCCAACTGTGAAGCTAGTTTTGTAATCCTCTCTAGATTATCAATTGGAGAAAGAGAACAGTCATACTGTAAGCTAGAATATTGCGAAAACAAACCCAGAGTAGTCTTGGTAGGAGAAAACTTATTGATAAACTGTTCTTTTAGACTAGCATATGAATCGAAATCACGGTTTTCAACCCATAACCGAGCAGAACCCTTCAGTGACTGTTTAAAAAGGCGAACTACATGTTCCAAATCTCCATCCTCGGGCGATATGTCCGTTTGATATAGATAGTCCTCAAAGCTTAACGTGTGGGCCCTAGCATTGTCCCTATCAATAATATTGCCATCGAATCGATCGATCATTTTCTCCATAATGAATAACTAACTAAAGTTTACGTAAATTGATCAACGTCAAAAGGATGGTAGGGAGCTGAAAGGCAAAAAAATGATTAATCATGTGATTTAAATAGTAATAGTAACAGTATTTACCAATTACATGTATATATATTTAGAAACTTTAACAGTTTCACAAAAATGGAATTACTAGAATGAAAATCCAAAAAAAAATGACCTATCAAAAGTGTTACACTTGATATAAAAATTATCTGACAATATTACTAATTATTAGGTTTGTAAATGTCATAGATGAAAGAAATCGAGGAACCCAATTAATAGTTCAAATGAAAACAATACAAAACTGTCTATTATATATATAATATTTGTTATTTAGCTAGAATTTACAAAAGAACAAATTTTAAAGTCTGTAATCACATGTAGGTTACAGTGAAATTGCAATGAATGTCCTGGCTGGTAAAAAAACAATTGGAACTGTTCTTTGAAATGGACGGCTTCCACAAGTCCTTTACACACTGCTTAAAACGGTCAAACACATATCCAATGGAGGACTGTCAAAGTTAAACAATTCAGTTACAAGCAATGTTGAAAAACTTAGCTAATCACTCAATCAGTTTATCTGTATTAATGGTTATGATCGAGTTGCTGTATACAGGAGATCAACACAAGTTGAAATAAAAGGCCACTGCACTACATTTAAAATGTTACCCCACTCTACTGTAGGTTAGACCTATCTATGGTGGCTATAGTAGGCATACGATACTAAGAATAATGCTGCGACAAATCACAAGTAATAATAAAATCCAATCAGCTAATGTTAGCTAGAGTAAACTATTGTAGTTACTAAGTTTTCAAGTTGATCTTCGAATTAGTCTCAACCACTAATTAGTAGTTTGAAAGTCTGACATTTCTCACACAGAAATCACTGGTACCTAATGGAACACAATTAATCTCAATTCAATCCATGAAAATCGGAGTGAAAATCAGCCATCCAATAAAAATCAGCGTCAAATACTTATATTGGGGAACTTTTTGGCATCTCCACCATGTTGTGAATGGTCAAACCCACACGTATTCAGATATTTTCATTGGAAGACATTCATAGGAACAAAAGACTTCTTTCATAGGCACATGTTTATTCACCTCCTCCCAGGGGAGCTCACTCCCAAAACATACAAGTTATCAAGTCTTACAACAGGCAATATGTAAGGGAGATAAATCATGTATCCTTAGTAGCAGGATACAGACCACAATAATACATGCTTAGAACTAATATATGGCTATACAACAGTATCATACGGTCTGTCATTGAGTCAAATGGCGGGCTTTCGATTCTTCGGTTGTACGTGACAAGGAGTAGGGTCGCCTGTCCAACCTCGTGGGTTTTCTCCGAGTCCTCCGGTTTCCTCCCACTGCTAAAGACCCCTATGCGCAAGCAAATTATTGAAATAAAATTGAACCATGTGTTAGTCCCGAAATGACCTAGTTTGTGTCGAGTGGACGTTAAACCCCATTTCTCTCTCAGTTGATCGGCTCTTTGTCTGGCTTTTTTTCTCCTTTTTTAAGCATGACATGGTTCATGTAAGAACTTAAACCGGAATTAACTAACAATAATAATCAGTATCAGGTGAGGTCTTAAAACCGGTCCGGGCATGGTTCATCAAACAGGTTCGTCAATTATTCATTAATTGCTTTTCGGCAGTATTTGTAGACCTGGTGGTTAGGACTAGGACGGTCTAGTCTAAACAGTTGGATTCCAGACAGTACCGGATCGACAAAGAGGCATTGTCGGGCACTGGGCACCCTCAGAGATCAAATGTCATTCGCGTAAAATGCATTGAGTGTCAGTTTCATCTGAAGAGTCGAGTGGAGACGATGAGCCCATTGCAACGGACTACCGATTTGACGACATGCCATTGGAAAAATCAGGGATTGCAATTCGGTTAAAGCGTTTGGATTGATGTAAGCATTAGTTACAATACATTGCAGGATTTCTTTCATTTTTTATTCTCAGTAAGCGGAGAGTATATGCGGAGTGTGATGGTACCAGTCGGTAAACCTCGGCAGATTCCGTTACTCAACAACTAGCCTCGGCTGTATGACAGTAGGCGATATCTACCTACGCCTATATAATTGCGATGCGGCACCGGTTTACTTATAGGGAAAACTTGCCGCTTTTAAAAAGAAGTTATCAAAATTGCGTCGTTCGAAGTGTGTAGAATTTTCAGTGCAAATTAAATTGTCCTTGTTTGAAGAAAATCGGATAAACTTGAAAGAAAAACCGCTCCAGACTTTGAAATATTTGTATAATAAAATATTCTTCAAAGGCGTCGTCATGGGCAACGCCGACGGTAATCCGGAAACTTAAAAGTAGTTCCAATGGCGGACTTTGTCATACAGCCGAGGATAGATGTAGCGTACTGGAATCTGTTGAGGTTTGCCGAGTGGTGATTGTACCCCCACAAGTTCGAGGTCTCCCACCAGATTAATCTGACTCAGCTTCTAAATAAAAATAAAATAATACAAACACTACAATAAAATTAAATACACGTTTATTTTTATTTTATTTACTTATATATTTATATTTAATACAAACATAATGATGATGACCATGAAAATGACCATGAGTGAAGGGTGTTTGAAAATGACCTTGAGTGAAGGAATCTTTGAAGATGACCTTGAATGAAGGAATCTTTGAAGATGACCTTGGGTGAAGAAATCTTTGAAGATGACCTTGGGAGAAGAAATCTTTGAATATGACCTTGCACAGGACTGCTTGAATGTGACCTTGTACAGGGTTGCTTAAACATGACCTTGTGCAGAGATTGTTTGAAGGAGACCTTTGAATGAAGACATGTTTGAAGGTGACTATGACAAGAGCATTTATCTGAAAATGACTTGTGCAGACAACTTAAACATAAGCTTGGAGATAGGTGCGAAAGGAAGATAGAAAGTTATTAGAAGATGGCCTTAAGACCGAGAGAAGGCCACAGAGAGATATAATTGGTCATATGTATATTGAGATAATAACACATACATAGTAATCAACAGAAGAAATACGATAACAATTAACCCTATTTGACAACTGGAATGAATTAATGTAATACTGATACAAATGTTTTCCTGCCATTTTAAATTGAAATTTACAGAATAAACAAATCAACAATTAATTTAGTTTTAAGACATAACAGTGAAACCACCACAGTATAGGACCACTCAAATACGAGCTTAATAAGTACACATTTTAATTTCCATTCGTTATGATAAAGACAAACTCTCACCACAAATGATTCAACATAAATAAATTTCTCTTTTATTTGATTCAACAGGTAAATCAGACATGGTCTCATTACATTGGGTGGAAAAATTGAGGCCAATCAAACTATCCATTACCAAGAAATGCATTCAGTGAACATATAAAAAAATTCTCAATTGTATGGATGTGTGTGCCTAAATTCATAATACTTCTAAATTACACCTGTTCAGGTATTCATTTTAACATGCATGTACATATATATATGGGCAATATTACTTTTGTCACAGAGATGAAGAGATAGAGAGTGGAATTAACCTCCACTCATAGTGTTTATTTTTTTAAATAGCCCTTAGGCATTATTCATGAAAACTGAACATATTTTAAGAATTCTGACGGTTCATTGGCCAAAGACTATAAAAGCAAATCACAAAATTAAGCCTTTGGCCAATTAAAGAGAGATGGGGTTTAACGTCCACTCAACACCAACTAGGTCATTTCTGGACTTACATATGGTTCAAATTTATTTCAATAATTCACTTTTGCGTAAGGGTCTTTAGCAGTGGGAGGAAACTGGAGGACCCAGAGAAAACCCACAAGGTTGGACAGGTGACCCTACTCCTTGTAAAGTACAACCAGGGAATCCTTAAAAGTGGGTCGAAAATGAAGGCTAAATTTAATCTTTATTATTAATTATTATGAAATAAATGCAGAACTTGCAGGACATCAACAGATGCAGCATAATGATATAAATATTTCTTAGAGAAAAGACCAGGTTTTCAGAATTTCTATTGATATTGATTGGAGATATTCATTAACTCATGCAGTAAGCTTATTTATATACTGTTGCATGGCAGAATAGGGGCCTTATGCACGAAAACTTAACTCTCAATAAATCTAAGAATTCAGTGGTAAAATTTACATCAGGATTTTAACTTTTATCCAATGAGAAATGAAATGAAATGGGGTTTAACGTCCTACTGTTTTGCTCCGAACTGGGCTAATGAAGACGGATCCAATGAGAAAGCAGCATATATAAAATATTTCAGTTTAAATTTTCATGAATAGCTGTCCCAGATTTCTTTCCTATCAGGATTTTAACTTTTATCCAATGAAAACATGGCATTTATATATATATTTTAGTTTAAATTTTCATCCATAGCTGTCCCATTTTTCTTTTATATAAAATAGTATGTCAAATATTACTAATAATATTAGATAAATCCCCTTTTCTTGTTCGACATAAGAAAATATAATTACTTCATATTAACCCATTAACATAATATTCGTTGGTTCCTGGAGTTTTAGGTCCATTTCCACCAAGGGTGGTATCTTAGACAAGTTTTTTAAAGGGACAATAACACTCTTGCTGGCTTGAAAGCTCCAGAAAATAAATAATATCTCTATCTAAGTACTAGATGTTTAAGTGTCCTACCTGTTGTGTAAATTATCCATTACATCCTATTTTACTTTTCCAGAGGGTTCGAAAACATTTTTAAATCGAAGTTTCATTTGAAAAGGTTTACGTTAGACGTTTCAAACCATTATGTTGAATTTTTCAAAATTTTTAAATAAGGTGTGTTAAGATGAAATTTGTATCATCAATTAATTGAAATATTCTAAAATAGTACAATTTGTTGACCAGAATAAAGATTGGGACATATTATTCAATTACAACAAGAGTGGTATTGAGCCTTTAACATAATATAACATACATGTATAATACACAAGAGCCTCATCATACCAAAGATTTTCCTAGATTACATAAAAATGCTTATCATACGGATACTGTCAAGATTAAATGCCTCAAATTTTGAGTAAAACAATTTACTCCATCATATGTATCCTGTCAAGTTTAAATGCCTCTAGTTTTGAGTGAAATAATTTACGCCATCATACGGATCCTGTCAAATCAAAATACACAAATTATGAGTAAAACATTTTACTCCATATGGATCCTGTTAAGACAAAATTCTAACAATTTATGGATCTTGTTCGGACGAAATGTCATAAATTTTGAATAAAACAATTCTACTCTCATGTGGATACTATTAAGACAAAATTCTGACAATTTGCCGATATGTATTCGGTCAAATAATTTTTTTACAGATTTTACCCACATGTAACATGCTACAATTGATTTACGTGCCACCCAAACTATATTCCAGTTAAGTCAATGAAGTAAAAAAAGACAATCATGCATACATCCATGTACAAAAGGAACCATACAACAATATGAAGACATTTTAATCTGTATTGAGTACTACATGGGAAATAATGGTTCTGAAAAGTCACTTGTAACATGGATGGGAAATCTTCCTTTGTTCTTCTCGTTGAATAAGCAGATTGTTTTCCCTCTAGTAAATTGAGTGGAGCTTAACCGTGCAATAACTAGACGTGTTCAATGTTCTGTGCAATAACAACAAGCATGTTGAGCAGGTGTCAATGTTACAAGTCATTTATAGCACGCTTCATTCGTTAACAGGTTTAACCCCTCCCCTCGGCCTTTGGTTAAACCTGTTAACTCATGAAAGCCGTGCTATAATATAACACAACCGATATAAGACGCAGAGTGGAGTAACAGTCCATTTGATCCTCAACATGCTCAGCCTAACTACTACCGGTACTCTTAACATCATACTGACTCTTTATCGATATAAAAAGATGACCAACAATCTTAGTACATGTATGTGACTGTAATGAAACTGTTTATTAATATAACAAGTCTGTAAGGTAAATGAGGCTTTGATATTGTTAAACTTCACTTCCCCACAAGATTAATAGCAATTCTTGTAGAGACCACATACATGTATTTCAAACCAAACAGGTTTTCAAGACAGTTCAAACTCGATTTTTAGTACTCATTATTTAATATCAATTAAAGATGCATTATGTAAGATTTAGATAAAGAGCTGGCCATTCTTGCTGTATTAGTTCTAAAATAGATAATGAGAAATGAAAATATTGAAAACCTTTGACAAGATTTAGCATAGATCGTAGCAACATAACTTGACAATTGAGGCTAAATCTTGATTCACCATTATTTAATTAAATCATTAAATGGCCACTGTGTTTCAATCTATTAAAATCTCAGCCATACGATGGCCCAGAGAGTTGGTTATAGGCTTGTCCTCTGAATAAATGTTTAAATAATAATTTTTATAATATATGAAGTCAGAAAAGACTTGCAATAGACAGATTTAGCTCTTACATAATGCATCTTTAATATTAATTCAATCAAATAATTTAATAACTCCAACTGATAATGTAAATTATATTGATTTGAAAGATTAAAAGTTTCTAGAAATCTAGAATGGCCCCTAAATTGATCACTTCAATTGAATCCAATATTCAAATAGCTTTCAAATAATGACTTACAATATTCAAATAGTAGCATGTAAGCATTCCATGTGAGCACTAAATTCTTAAAAACTTCCCATCCTGCCCGTGTATGTACTTTAAAGTGACAGTATTCAGATGAAATTTAGCCAATTTATGAGAATAATTAGAATGAAAATCTGTGTACAACATCTTAAAAACATAATAATCATTACATCCAGTAGGAAGAGACATACATGTACACATGTACATGTATATATGAAATCTGTGTACGACATTAAAATATAATAATCATTACATCCAGTAGGAGTAGACAGACATGTAGTAATAATAATCATTACATGTACATCCAGTAGGAGTAGACAGACATCTAATAATAATCATTACATCCAGTAGGAGTAGACAGACATGTCATAATAATCATTACATCCAGTAGAAGTAGACAGACATGTAATAATAATCATTACATCCAGCAGGAGTAGACATACATGTAGTAATAATCATATAAGGCCACACCAATTTGAATTTGTTCTTTGGAAATACTGGAGAAAGTCCATGAGGTTGGACAGGCAACCCTACTCCTTGTCACGTACAATCGGGGAATCGAAATCACGCCGGTTAACTCAATGACAGACCTTATGATACAACGCGCACGTGCTAACCATTCTGCTATCCAACCTCCCAAACCTGAAAGAACTAAAAATTAAATTGGCCTGGCCTAATAACAAACTTCTTGTTTACGGGATGATGACGAGATGAAAATGGGTCACAATATAAATTTACAAATAATTTAATTATTGTCCTGATAATTCAACTGATTTCATGATAAATCTATATTTACATATATCTAAAATAACCATGAATGAATATATCCATTTGTAAATGTTTTGTTTGTTGCCATTAAAACAAGTGCTGCTTGACCGATTGTTTATTTTTCAAAGCACTGATCGATAGTAAATTTTGCACCAATTGCTAAAGGGTGATTTTCATTAGTCCTGTTCCATTGGTTCTTCTGATCTTGAGACCTGATCCGATTGCTCCGATTGTTCTGATTCATGACTATGTGCTGCTTCCATATCCGAACTGGAGTCTGTCTCCAGAATATTTTCTGTTTCCGTGATCACAGTTTGTTCCGAGCTTACTACATTAGAGTCTAGCTCTGGTTCCGCATTAATTAAAATGTCCGTTTTCGCACTGCTGTCCGATGAAGTCACATTATCCCCTACGCTACTTGTAGAATTTTTGGTGGAATTGTCTGAAAGTATTGCGCTATTTGACTGTGACACTGCTGAATCGTCTGTTTTTGATTCCTCACTCAATCCTGAGTCAACTACTGACTTTGATTCAATAGTTCTGGATTCAGACGAGGTGACAGCGCCATCGTTTATTTCCTTTGGTTCTTGTGCTGGTTCTGTCTCTGGTTTGGACGGGATGTTTTCATTGGCAGTTGTTGTTACAGATTCTTCCACTTCATTGGCCGAGTCCGCTGCAAATAGAAAGCAAGAATTAATAAAAAAAGACCTTTTTGAAAAAAAGAAAATGGGGTTTAATGTCCTACTTACATGTAAAAGTAGTTGTACCAACCAGGATAAATGAAGATGAGCATATCTCCCGTCAAAAGGCAAAACCTAGGAACTCACTTTTTTCTTATTTTGAGAAAATAAAGGAAAACGTAATGAATGAATATTAAATGCCAGCTCATCCATTGATTTGACTATTGAGTTTTTGCTGTGGTATACTAGGCAAATGAAGGAAGTTGCTAGGTTGTGTCATGGGTGTAACTGCTTACAAAATCAAAAGATTGGAATATCTAGTACAACAACAGGAGGCACATACACTAGTAACTGCAAATTTGGTCCTAACTCAATTTTGATAAAAAAAAAAGGGAGTTACTAGGTTTTGCCTTTTGACGGGAGATATGCCATGCAGTGTACTGTAGGGGGAAACTTTGCATGGAGATCCGCATTCACGTCTATTGTTCTTCAAATTACATGTAAAACTGCAAACATTCCCATCTACTCTTCTTCAAATATAAACTGCCATGGGGTTTTTTCCATGCACATCAAAGTGTCCAAAGTTGGGAATGAACATACTGTACCACTGACAAGGGAAACCAGACTGGAATATTCCATGGGATCTTTCTCTGCCTACACCGAGATCAAACCCAACACCTGGTTAGTGAGTCAGTGCCATATTATCAGATAACTGGTGCCTGTATTTTTTGTGGCCGAGACTTGTCTTATATCAGTGTTTTTATTAATAGCCTATCTTTCTGACACGAAGTTGAAAATGTCAGCTACTAGTCAGCTACTAGTTCAGAAGTAGGCCTACAAATGGACATGTACCTGATATTTTGTCGACTCATTATTTCCAGACCTGATGGTATCTTCCGGTATACATCCACTGTGTAATGGCCAGTTGGTTATAAAGTTTATACTTTGTAATTATTGTCATTGCTAATTTTACCATACTTGAACCATTACCGGTCAATGTACAGTCACAACAGGCATATCATTTGCCTAGTACTTGTGATGTGATGTGGGGGTGATAAACAAGGCTCTGCAATGCGACTGAAACACTCGTATTTGCAAGTGAATTTTGACAATGGTGACCAGGTATTTATAAATGCTAGGTTTCTGGCGAGTGAACATATATCTTGAAGTCCCCAATTAACACAACGGCTATCTGAACTTTTCTTCGTAAAGATAATGTAATCGTCAATGATCCCGGTCGACTGTCACTCGTTTACTTCCTGGTTTGAAATTGGGTTAATCCTATTGTCCTCTGCGAGGAAATTCTCCTGTATTTATCGGAAGTTTAAGAGACAGCTGACAGCGTGGCTAGCAGACAAATCAAACCGATATCGTCTTACTTTACTAGTAAAGTAACTTCGTCTCGCAGTGAGTCTCAGTCGGGGAAAAATGATGATAGTCATGCTAGTGACGCTACACCACCCAAACAAGCAAAATTACAAGCCTCGCCGTCTTCGTCTCGCAGTGGGTCCCAGTCGGGAAAAAATGACGACAACTTTGCAACTGAAAATTTTGTTTGGCTAGTGGTTTTGAAAATTTACTTATGTTTGCACAAGTAAGTTCAAAATGCTGTGTAGAGCCTTGATAAAGTTGTCTAACACATGCCCTTTAAATCATAAGGTCTGTCAATAAATCATGTGGCGTGGTTTTGATCCTATACTTGTTATGTGACAAGGAGTAGGGTAGCCCACCCTAGTAGGATTTCTCTGGGCCCTACAGTTTCCTCCCACTATTAAAGACCCCTTCGCAGAATTGAATTATTGAAATAAAATCGTACCATTTGTTAGTCTCGAAATGAGTGGAAGTTAAACCCCATGTCACTCACTCTTTCTAGTACTTGTGATATAGTTTAAAGTGGCTGATCGTAATTTTCCAGAAAATACATGTATCTTCGTGTACAATGTACTTTTCATGGTTTAATTCACTCTACTCAAATTGATTATTTAAAGATACATTATGTAAGATTTAGATAAAGAGCTGAACAATCTTGTTATAATAGCTCAGAAATAGATAATGTAAAATGAAAATATCGAAAATTTCATTCAAATTACTTCATTCTAAGCCAAGTTATCACTGACTGTAGTTTTGCCAAGATGTATGCATTGTAGTAACCAGGGCACTGGTAAATTCAAGACTTGGCCTCATTTCCCATTTTAAATTAAATTTTTAAATGGCGAACCATTCTAATCTAGTTCAAATCTCGAGTATCCAACGCCTTTAAGAGTTGTTTATGTTCTTGTTTTGTTAATAAATGTCTAATTAATAGTTTATATAACTTTTCAGGCCTAAAGAAAAACACGCAATAGGCAGATTTAACTCTTGCATACTGTATGTTCAAATTTAATGAATTAAACAAAACTAAAATATCTGGATTCAATCGGTATAAAAGGGGGACTTGTTAAGGAACCATACCCAACTCTTATACATGTAGGTGTCAATGGATTGTTTATTACAGAAGAAATGACTTTGGAAATAGTTTCAATTCATAATGCTGTACTAAATATGACATATTCCTTTTAGAGATTCAACTTTAACAATATTGTGGTTGGCAATGTAGAGAGGGAGAGAAATGGGGTTTAACATCCACTTGACACAAACTAGGACATTTTAGGACTAACACATGGTTCAATTTTATTTCAATAATTCGCTTGCTCGTCCGGGTTTTTAGCAGTGGGAGGGAACCCTGAGGACCCAGAGAAAACCCACAAGGTTGTCACGTACAACCGGGGATTCGAAACCACGCCAGTTAGATTCAATGGCCAAATGTCATTCAGTGATTTTTAACGTGGCAATAAATCTTATACAAAATTTCAACAAAATCAGTTCAGAATTTAATTTGACATGGATATAATTCTACAAATGAAACGGAACAAGATAAAATACAAAATCCTTTTAGTGGTGTGTTCGGCCACATCCACTTGTTTTATGTGGGATGCATAATGTTCTTTATTAACATTCAAATAGTAAAATTTATGCCTTATTGCACTCTTTAATGCCTATATATGTTATTCAAAATCACAAATAGTTTGTTTCAATAAAATTGTTGAAGATTTTGATTTCCTAACATAGCCACCGTGAATATATAAAAAAATCCAATATGGCCACCATTTCCATGACAACAAATAAACATTTTGTGCTCAAATTATCAAATCTGATTTGGAACATCATATACTAATATTACACTAAATGGCAAGTTTCTGTTATCAATGTAAAATTCTTAGGTAGTGTCCTGCCTTAAAGACATTTTTGAAGCGTGTCACCATATGTATATAAGCAGTGTCTGACAGATTATACTTGAATTGGCAGCCTTAAAGACATTTTTAAAGCGTGTCACCCCAAGAGAATAAATGTAACCATATGTATATAAGCAGTGTCTGACAGTGACACGAAGTAGATTTCGTGTCTAACAAAGATTTCTAACGTAGCGAGGAAAAAAGAATTAAAATGAGTGGGGCTTTGGAAGCCACTGCCAAGAATTGGCTTCAAACAAAAGACCTAACCAAAAGTCTACATCACATTCACAAACTGTCACAGCTACCTGTAGCAGTGCTAAAAATATTTTAGAATGAAATCTAATCATTTGTTATGAATTAAAGTAATATCTTGTTATTTAGGTGTTTTATGTTTAAACTGAAAAATTGCTAATCAAATTAAGTTTGCTAATCAAATTTGCTAATCAAATTTGGCAAAATTGGCTTTTTTTGATTAGCAGTGCTGCTAATCAACTGTGAAAAATTACTGACAGCCCTGATAGTTTGTGATGAGTGGACATTTGTCTCTCGGTTTATTGAAATGAAATGGGGTTTAACGTCCTACTGTTCTGCTCCTAAACTGGGCTAATGAAGACGGGCATACGCCATGCAGTGTGCTATGAGGGAAATTTTGCCAGGGCAGCGGCGCTACGGCCTACTCTTATATCGACTTCCAACTGCCAAGGGATCTTTTACATGCACTCCAATGTGTACACAGGACCTCGGTTTTTCGTACCATCCGAACGACTAGACAACTGTCCTTGTCAGGCCCTCCGTCCTGCATCACTAACAAGTGGAAACCACGCCGGAAAATCGGGATGAACTTTCTCGGCCAATGTAGGGATCGAACACCCGACCTTCTGGCTAGCGAGCCAGCGTCTTACCCACTTAGTCTTGGTTTATTGACAAGCCTGTTGAATAACATACCTGGTAGTGTAACTGTTGTTAATTCTATTGTTTCCTGACAGATATTGTTATTGGAGATGTCATTACTCGCTTCCACCACAACATCAATATCACTGGCTGTGATTTCCACACATTTCTCCGGAGAAGACGGTGATTGAACACAACTTGCGTCTGTACTTTCACTAGTCACATGATCTGCTGCTCCACTATTTTCCGATTGATCCAAGTCAATGTTTGGGTTCGATGAGTTGTGTTCCTCTAATTTTGAGTTGTCTAATGAGGTGGTTGGAATTATTTCCCCTGATGATGAGTCCGATGATTGTGAGGTATCGCCTTCCGGATGTGATTTTACAAAACTTGAAGTGTCCGTTGACTGCGTAGGAACGTCGTCCGATATAGTTTCATTTGTTCCATTATCTCCCTCCCCATTGTGTGTTACCACGGACTCAATATGGCCGTTATCTGTAGACTGGGTTGGCCAGGTCGTAGCAATATCATCCGTTGGCCAATTGACTACAGGAGGGTTCACTACAGTAGACTCTTCTGTCTTTATAAGCTCTTCTCCATTTGAATCTAAGCCATTAACAAGATTTTTAGGGCTTTCTGATACAATTTTCCTGGAATAAAAGATATGTGAAGCTACAAGAACCATACAAATTTATATTAGGCAATACAAATTTATTCAAATTTTTTATAGAGTTACTTCCTGTAACCCAGGGAAACATGCAGCTCTTTTTAAATGACAAGGTCATGATCAACTCTCGATGGCATCGGATAAACGAGATTTTAACTAGATTAGAACGGTTCGCCATTTAAAAATTTAATTAAAAAATGGGAAATCGAGGCAAAGTCTCGAATATACCAGTGCCCTGGTTACCACAATGCACACATCTTGCCAAAACTGCAAACAGTGATAACTTGGCTCAGAATGAAGTAATTTGAATGAAATTTTCAATATTTTCATTTTACAGTATCTATTTTCGAACTATTATAGCAAGAATGGTCAGCTTTTTATCTAAATCTTACATACTGTATCTTTAAAGCGTTAGACACGAAATACGTTAAAAGTAGTTATTTTGTTTTAATTAATCTATAAACTGAAAAGATTTTTTTCTCTGTCAATATCGTGTCCTGTAGAAAGATAAAAGTTTAGAAATTTCTATTATTTTAAAACTGTAAATCTTGCTAATGAACGTACCTGCCAAATGGATCTACAGTACTGACAACTAATACATTCTGAAAATAAAATATTTAACTGATAAAAGAAAAAATATGGTACGGACATCAAAGAATAATATCAAAGGAAAACAGCCTGTAGAAATGATCTCTGTTAAAGAAATGAAATTAAATTGGGTTTACCGTCTTAAAGAGTAAGAAGTGGGGTTTAATGTCCAAACGACACAAACCAGGTCATTTCGGTTGCACGTCAGGGTATTTAGAAGTGGGAGGAAAAAGGAGAACCTAGAGATATCCAACTAGGTTGGACGGGCGATCACTACTGTCACATGAGTGGGCAATTAAAACCACGCCACTTGACACAATTACAGACCTTATGATCTAACGCGCAGGTGTTAAACCATTTGGTCCCCCCACACCAACCAGGAAATGTGCCTATGTTGTGTAATAATAATTTTTCATCATTAATCAGCTCTTTTATTCATATTCATTGTTGACCATACATACCTTTTCAATTCCTCTAAGAAATTTATCAGTACGTTTATAGTGTCTTTTTGGTTCTGTAATAAGTTCACACAATCTTTGTATTGTAAATGGTGCCCTGAAATCATTTAAAACAATTGAAATTTCGTCTGACCTGATTTAACTAAAGATAAATTATCAACAGCACGAAAAATTATATTTTCACCCATTCTTCATCTATTTTCAACTGCCAAGGGTTCCTTTACCAGTGTGGCAGTGTCTATTCGGATGGAGCTCTGTTTTTCAGGCCATCTGAAGGGGTTTAACATCCACTCGACACAAACTAGGTCATTTGGGACTAGCATGGTTCAATTGAATTTCAATAATCTGCTTGCACGTAGGGGTCTTTAGCAGTGGGAGGAAACTAGAGGACCTAGAGAAAACTCATGAAGTTGGACAGGCCACCCTACTCCTCGTCACATACAAGCGGGGTATCAAAACCACGCCACTTGACACAATGACAGACCTTGTGATTTCATGCACATGTTAAACCACTAGACCACCTATCCCCCAACAATCTGATTGAATAGACTTAGATTTCTTTGTCACTCCCACATTCTTGGCTCATGTCTAGATTTTGAACCTAGGGCTTTTTAGCCGCAAGGCTAGCTAGTGCCCAACAGACAGTGGCAGACATGACCGCAATGGTGAGTATGACAACTCTGTCAATATAACTACCCGCTATTGTTTTCTACCTTACCCATGAAATCTTTCTAATGCAACTAATATTCTAGCTCTCATTTCATCAAATTTAGCATTCTCTACATTCGGACTGTTAACCAGATGATCTGATGGTAGATCTTCGTTATATCTGATCATGACATCATCCAATTTGGCTCGGAAAAATGATTTCAAGCGAGCCCAGGGGAAACTGAAAATGACAAAAATAAAATATTTTGATAAATGATAGAGTTATAGCTGATTGATGCATATTCATATTTTTATTTTTATCTAATGGTTCAGAAATGTAATGAAGTTTAACATCCTACTTTTCTGCACCACAGCGTTAATGAAGACAGGTATATGCCAAACATTGTACTATGAGGGAAATTTTGCCCAGATAACAGACAGAGTGAGCGAGAAATGAGGTTTAACGTCCACTCGACCCAAACTAGGTGAATTTTAGGACTACCACATGGTTCAGTTTTATTTCAATAATTTGCTTGCATGTAGGGGTTTTTAGCAATGGGAGGAAACCGGAGAAGCCGGAGAAAACCCACGAGGTTGGACAGGCGATACTACTCCTTGTCACGTACAACCAGGAAATGGAAACTATGCCAGTTGACTCAATAGCAGACTTTATAATACAGCGAGCATGCACTAATCATTCAGCCATCCAACCCTCTGCCCAGATAACAGCGTTTCCCACTGCTCCCCATCAAATTTCAACTGTCAAGGGTTCTTTTTTATGTGCGTACATGTACCCATACATGTACACGGGATCTTGAATTTTTGATCTTATCGTCTTAAATCTACAATTTCATATTTTTAAGTTATATTTTTAAAATGTATTAAAATAAAGCCCTAAAATAGATGGTATCTATAAACAGTCCTACCTTGTTAAAGAATAATCCTATTATTAGGCTATTAATCCTATAATTCACTAGAGCTAGTTGAGAAATTGGCAAAAATATCATTTTCAACTTCAAATGTTTGAAGATAGCTATTCTATTGTTGGGAATAGGAAAACAAGGGAGGTAATTGTGTTATTATTTCCGGTGTGAAGATTTTTAAGTGTGAGAAAGATAACCTATGATCGCATAATATTGAGATGACAACCTATTGAGCAAAAGACATAGAAATAATTATGTTTTGACTTTCTTAGAAAATATGAAATTGTAACTTTAACTAGATGCTGTCCCTTGCCAGTTTTTCAACACTGACAAGGAGAGAACATACTGGAAAATCCCATGGAAACTCATTATTCTAACAAAAATCTAAACATCAGCAGAAACGGGGTTTGTTTGAAACTTAATTTAACACCATATAATTTACACAGGTCGCAATTCGTACCAAATGACAAGTAGAAATATGCAAGTTTTCTTTTAATTGATCTTGGTTACCTGTAAGCAAAAATAATATGAAATGAAATGGGGTTTAACATCCTACTGTTCTGCTCCGACTGGGCTAATGAAGACAGACATACGCCAAGTGTGTCCGGACAGCGGCGCTAAGGACTACTTTTATATCGAATTCCAAGTGTCAAGGGATCTTTTAGGTGCATGCCAATATGTGTACATGGGACCTCGGTTTTTCGTCCGATCCGAACGACTCGACAGCTGTCCTTGAATGATCACCCATCCTGCACCACTGACAAGGGGAAACCATGCTAGAAAATCCTGATGCACTTTCTCGGCCAATACCGTGAGCAAACCCACAATCTCAAGATACCTGCTGTAAGCATGAGGCCATGTAAAAGGAATGGAGAGAACCATATCATCAGTTACAAGTACTCAAGTAGCAATATATTGTTCAGATGGAATCTTTTAATATTTATATCAATCACGATAAGAGACTGAACAGTCTTTCATGGAACTCATCCATAACTTCGTAGTACCAGCCACACGACACAGTATGAGTATCATAATCATCAGTATGAGTATCATAATCATGACGAACCATGGACAGGGCCACACGAAAATGACACCTCATGTAAATTAGGCCTAAATGTTTATATGATGAATAAATACTGTAAAACATAACATTGCGTACTGAGTATTTATCAGTACTATGATTTTCACTAATTAGCCTGACTGGTAGTATCTGGTATTGATTTCCATTAGGCTATTCGTAGATAATGCTATTGTTTACATCTATTGCGCATGTCCTCCGTTTTATCACCACACGTAAATGGATAAATACCGCCAATTAAGAGGTTGTATTACGGCTTCATACGTTAAAATATCTGCCAGAAAATATCACAGTCTAATTAAATATTTACTGTCATAAATATAAAAACATTTTTCTCATAATAAAAGCTTCGAAGGGTTTCAATAAATAAAACTTACAGAGTCTCTCCCGTCTTCGCCACACGACACAAATATTCGTTCAACAATGGAGGAATTTCTTTTGGTAGCTTTTTATCAAAATCTACAAAGAAAGAAACGGGGAAATTACATATAACAATTGAAGAAAGTTGTGAATAAAATGATCATCCACTTTTTAAAAGATACAAACCGTTTAAAGCATCCAAAACTTCTTCTAAATTATCCATTTTGGTCACTGAACTCGTATCGTGCACCATCAAGGTCAGAAATGGCGGCCGGGAAGTGACGTCAGACACCATTAGAATGGACTAGTCCAATGGGGAAATTAACTTTTAATTATTTATCAGTTATTAATGTTGCCATCTGTAGTCTTAGAAGACATATTTTATTTAAAATGTATATTATGATCTAAGAAAAGTAAATCTACGTATTGCCATTTTAATTATCGAGGTTTTCAATTTTTATTAGCCATTTGACTCGTCTACCACCCCCCTTTCTAAGTGATCTGTTCCCTTGTTAGTTTCGTTCTAAAATTAGATTGTAAATATGGCGCTAGCCTGAGAATTATTTGTACCTTCCCATTTTTTTCACTGGCTACGTGATAAGGACATACACAACTAGATACGGACAGAGGTTTAAAACCCCTGATTTTAAAGGTAAGTGTACAACAATAAACTAAACGCATTCGATGGGCGAGTCTTTAGGAAGGATCTGATTTTCGTTCGGACAGGTGCAAACCTTTGAAGATACCGCCGCCTCAGGTGAGACGGATTGTCGTCTGTCAGATTGAAATAACGTCGTCAACTATGTAGACTATGAAGAAACTCCTTAGTTATTTATCATAATTGCCATTTAAAATGTTTGTAAATTTATAATCAGACTCAAATTGCCTAATCAACGACTTTTAAGTTTTATATCAGGCAAACACAGCTAAATTCAATTTAAAATTGCTAGGGCAGCAAGGGATGTGGTCATAACGGCCTTAAATCATAACCGATACGGCAAAAAATTTAGTTTTTATCATAGCATCCTCTTTTTCAACTGACACAAATTTTTAACATTAGATATTTTCATTACTATAGGGTAGAGCCAATATGCTACGGTAACAATGCAATGCTATCATGAATATAAAACAGGGAATAAGTTAAAACCTTTAATAGGCCTCAATTGGTGACTTCAGATTTTTAACTTTAGATATTTTCATCACAATACGCCAGAACCGATATGATACGATAACAATGCTATCATGAATATAGAACTAGAAATAAGCTAAAACCTTTGATAGGCCTCAATTAGTGATTTCAGAACCTTGAACAAAAAAAAAAAAATCATTGCCAACTCCTTGACTTGCAACTATCCATGGCGTAGGTCCGAAAATTGACTTAGGCCTAATAATCTGATGTCGAACGAATATATACACAGCGTTATTTCAAACATTCTAAGTATAGACCTACCTATCTCTAACCTAACCCGTATTTAATTCATGAATGTATTACATGTCAGACCAAAGGCCACTCAGATAAATTAATAAACCAGTTGACTAATAAAAAAACAAGTCAGTTTACTCAGGATCACTCTAACAGACAACTGGGACCAATATGTTTTTGAAATAATAAAGCGTTGTTTTAATAAATTAATTATTGTAGGCCTATTTGTTTTGTTTGAAATAATAAAGTGTTGTTTTGATAAATTAATTATTGCATTTGTTTTAGTACATTTGTTTTGTTTGAAATAATAAAGTGCTGTGTAGTTTACCCATGTTATTATCTCATCAAAGCAATGAAACACATCAAAGAAAAACTATAAACAAAACTGTCCTTATAATTATTATGATTTTTTAATACAAAGCAATTATTTATTGTCAGTATTTTAATTATTAAACATGCATTATGCAAGAGCAAAATCTGCTTATTACAAGTCTTTCTTTAGGCCTGAAATGTTATCTAAATTATCAATTAGACATTAATTAACTTATCCAGACCATAATAAACTCTCGATGTCAAGGCTAGCCTTCGATGTTGGCTGGATTAGATTACTATATGCCACTTAACGGCCATTGATAATTAAATCAAAACAGTGGATAATCGAGACTATGCTGTTTATATTAATGATTTTAGTAATGATGACCAAGACTATGCGAAAATTTCACTCACTTCGTTCTCGGCTCATAGTGGATCAATTTGACTGAAATTTTCAGCAAATTACCTTTACACTATCTAGTTTTTAACTATTATAGCGATAACTGCCATCTCTTTATCTTATCTCCCATAATGTATCTTTAAGCGAATAAGTCAAGCAAACTTTTGGTCTGAGTGATCTTGAAATATAAAATTGTGTCTCTTTTTTGGTCTGACTGGTCTAAAGATTTGTCCAGCTTGTCTTTGGCCCGACTTGCCTGGATACCCAATTCACAAGCTGTTTGTAAAGTTATAGCAAGTGGAGGGCAGATTTGTAAAATGAAGGCCAAAGTTTCTGGTGGTGCTTAATGTGTCATGCAGGAGCTCAATGAGAATTCTGATTTTTGGAACTGCCCAAATATATCTACCAGTATGATAAAAGTGCTATTGGGGCGTAGAGCCATGTTATTCTGCTACTATTACTATAGCTGACTGGGGGTTAACGCCCCCCTCCACGCCTCACTGTAATATTGTGCTGCCCAGATATTAATTAATGTACATGTATCTACCAGTAGGCCTACAAACAGTTTGAGTATGATAAGAGTGCTATGGCTGCCTAGGGCCATGTTATTTTCATTGATTGTTTTATAATCCCCATTGGATTGATGATGGATGATGTCAATTAATTGGGTAATTAGTAGTTTTGATTGTTGATTAGGTAATTATGGTTATTAAGATGTAGGTAATAAAACACCTGTAGCCCTTATTAGATTACAGGTTATCACAGATTTTCTTGAAGGAATTGGGATGGCCTACATTTAGTATATCTTACTTCGAGCTCCAATCATCCCTGTTGTGAGCGAATATGACCTGGAAATAGGGGCACCTTCCCAACCTCAAAGGTTTACTCCATGCACTCTGGTGCCCTCGCGTAGGAAAGCCCCATGCAATTGCACTGCATTTACTAAATTAAAGGTTCATCTGCAGTATTAAATCCCAATTAACAACAGCAAACAAACAAATAAACAAACAACTTCTTTTATTTGTCTGCATTTTGGTGTGTTAAACATACATTATGCAAGAGCGAAATCGGTCTATTGCAGGTCTTTCTTTAGGCCTGAAATGTTATCTAAATTATTATTTAATTAGACATTAATGAACTTATCCAGACCATAATCACCTCTTGATGGAATCGGATTTCTCTGATATTAAATAGATTAGGACAGTTCAGCCATATTTTGATTTAAGCTAAAAATGGAGGAGCTAGACTTAGCTTCGAACAACCAGTACGGTGGTTGAAATTATTGCACACGTCTTGTCAAACCTTCACAGGCTAATATCTTCGCTCGCAATAGAGTAATTTGAATGAAATTTTCAAATTATTCATTTTACATCATCTATTTTCAAACTATTATAGCAAGAATGGCTAGCTCTTTATCTAAATCTTACATAATGTATCGTTAATTAGTAATATAGAACAGTATTTCCCAACTTTGGAGGTCTGCGAGGCATACACAGAAAAAGGGTTACATGAGAAAAAGATAGTTTATTAAATTCAGTATGAGGGGACAGGTAGTTCTCAGAGATTTGTGAAATGTTCCACAGTGGTAGAATACATGTATGGATAATTGAATATGTTCTTGTGTGATGTCATCCTGTTTAGAAGCAGACTTTGAACTAAAATTTAGATTGCAGGTCATAAAAGAATTGTAGTAGCCTATTAATGAGATTACATGTATATCATAAATTCTTTTTTTTATGTGCCTTATCAAATATAGCTAATGTATATGTAGGCCCTACATGTAGGCTATCTATGTATGTGCACATTAAATGAAAACTATCAATAAAACCTGGAACTTAAAATCGGTAATTATCAGTCATTTGAAGGAATTTTTAATACCTTATTACAAACTACAACATTGTAAACAGTTGAATCGCTAAAAGGAATATCTTGCCAAAAATGGTTCAATTCTGTTCAATATTTACAACGATGTGATGAATTAAAAAGTTGTCAGCATTCAGGATCCACTGGAGACAATATAGAAGCTAGCGCCGTTTACAATTTTTGCTTAAATCTATTGATGGACCTCTTTTTAATCGCATTGAGGTGTCTTGATCGGAGGTGCATGATACATACAGTATGTAGGAGCTCAACATTTCGTTTGTTTGTTCGTTGCTTAAGAGGGGGGTTGGGTGGCCGAATGGTTAGCACGTGCGTGCTGTATCATACGGTCTGTCATTGAGTCAACTGGCAGGGTTTCGATTCCCCGCTTGTGCGTGACAAGGAGTAGGGTCGCCTGTCCAACCTCGTGGGTTTTCTCCGGGTCCTCCGGTTTCCTCCCACTGCTAAAGACCCCTATGAGCAAGCGAATTATTGAAATAAAATTAAACCATATGTTAGTCCCGAAATGACCTAGTTTGTGTCGAGTGGACGTTAAACCCCATTTCTCTCTCTCTCTTTCTCTCTCTCGTTGCTTAAGGCTTAATGTCCACTTCCACCTTGGGTGATATCACAGACAAGGCACAGACAAGGCTTTAAACAAGTGGTCTGTGTTACATGTGGGATCACGATGGCTAAGCGGGTAAGATGCTGGCTCGCTAATCTGGAGGTTGGGTGTTCGATCCCTGCATTGGCTGAGAAAGTTCATCCAGATTTTCCGGCATGGTTCCCCCTTGTCAGTGATGCAGGACGGAGAGCCTGACAAGGACAGCTGTCTAGTCGTTCGGATTGAACGAAAAACCGAGGTCCCGTGTATACATTGGAAAGCACGTAAAAGATCCCTCGACAGTTGGAATTCGATATAAGAGTAGGCTGTAGTGCCACTGTCTGGGCAAAATTTCCCTCATAGCAAACTGTATGGCGTATGCCCGTCTTCATTAGCCCAGTTCGGAGCAGAACAGTAGGACGTTAAACCCCATTTCATTTCATTTCATTTCTGTGTTACACGTATCATAGCCTGAACAGCCCTTAGTTGAATTCCAACTGCCAAGGTTTCTTTTATAAGAATGACAACATGTACACAGAACCTTGGTTTTTCATACCATCCAAATTTACTAGACGTTGTTGCTTGCCAAGCCGTCCATCTTATACCACTGGCAAGGGGAAACCCGACTGGAAATACCCTGGAACTTTTTCGGCTAACACTGTGATCGTAACTCGGACCT